CACGCGAAGCAGCCCAAACTCTGGCAGCCTTTCCTCCTAAGAGAGCTGTGCCAGCCCTCTGATCTTTTTTATGGCCTCCTCTGGACCCACTCCAGCAGATCCTTGTCTTTGCTGTGCTGAGGGCTCCAGATCTGGACGCAGGACTCCAGGTGGGGTCTCAGTAGAGCGGAGCAGAGGGGCAGAATCCCCTCCCTTGCCCTGCTGGCCACGCTGCTTTTGATGCAGCCCAGGATACAGTTGGCCTTCTGGGCTGCAAGTGCACATTGCTGGGTCAGGTTGAGTTTCTCGTCAACCAGCATCCCAAGTCATACAGACTTAAAAAACCAGGGATCATTCCAGCCCTATATATTCTGCTTTTACTGGTTTTGAAAGCTTTCTCTTATTGGGACCCCTTCTAGCAGGGGAGAAGGCAGCATTATCGGAGCTTCTCTGACTCCACTGGGGCTCTTCAAACAGCTCACAATTAGTGCTGAATCCACCAAAACGTCAGAAATATACCTGAGGTTTTGAGCTCACAGATATTTGCAACTTGATGAACTTGTCCCATTTACCTGGTCCAGCACAAGCCCTTTGTTTACACTGGGGCTTGTTCAGAATAGAATAAAACAGATCAGGATAGGATAGGATAGGATAGGATAGGATCATATCGTGTCATATCATACCATACCACACCATATCATCTCATGTCAGATCATGCCATACCACATCATACCACACCATACCACATCATATCCAACATCCTTGTAACTCCTCACTCACCCTTGAAAATTACTGCTCTTAAAAGAGAGTTAGAACACTCTCCTAGATTGCATTATGTTTGTCCTGCAGCTGCGTATGTGCCACTCCATATGGCCTGTTGAAAAGCAGGGGCATCTGAGGTGGCTGTGAAAGGAGCCCACCGCGGCACCCCAGCAGCCCCAGGGGCTTGTGGGGTGCAGCCTGCTTTGAGCTTTTCCACTTGTGCAGCACAGTTTTGCAGTTCCCCGAGAGCAAACACCTCGTCTCCTTTGACAGCAGAGATCTGGAGTGAACTGCTGGCCCCATTCGAGCAAACCACGGGGCTGCTTGCTAACCGGAATGGCTGTGGGAGACTCCTCGCAGTCAGACAAGGAAAGCTCAGCTCCTCTACAGACTGGATTTCAGGTGTATAAACATTTGCCGCATGGTGCTGAAAATTGAGCCAGGCTGCCCTACTAAGCAAAGGCAGGAACAGCACCGAATTGGCAAAGCTTGTCTTCTGCCGGTGAGAGAAAAGCGGGGTGAAAAGCTAAGCGACAGCCTGTTAGGAACGTGGTTTTTGAGGAACACAAGGGCTAATTCAGCATATTCTCGTCCTAAAATTTTTCTTCTGTCCTGGACAAAACCTGTGGCCTGTACCTTACCTTTCAGCTGCTGGTCCTTTGTCCAGCTTGGGAACTTTGCCTGGATTGTCTTTATCATCGAGACAAGTATGTCTGTGCCCTGGGTAATGTGAGCTTCGCTGTTCCACGCTCCCACAGGTGTATGGGAGTTTTTGTCAACCTAGAAATACAAAGCAACAAAAAGAAGTAAAATTTCCCTTCTGCAATGGATGGTACCTTTAGGAGGTTTACTTTTATTTATCTGCTGTATATTTATCAGGTCTTAGTGGAATATCAGCCAATACCTGCATTAAACCAAAGCCATTTCCGTTGTCGCCCCAGCCGTCCTTCAGTATTGTGCCGGCATGAGATTCCCGGGAGATGATGCCAGCGATGATGGCTGGTTCGACGCACAGCTTTTTGCCAACTTCCTCAATCAGAGTTTTATATTGAGCCATGGCTTCTAGGTCCCGTTCAGCAATCGTTTCTGATGCCTTAACTCCTGTAATTCCAATCAAAAGTAAAGATGTTTGCTAATAACCTTTAAAACTCAGAATTGCCTCTCACCTCTCGCCTTCTAGTGCAGGCAGAAATAGATGACACTTTTCTTTGCCCTGACTGTGGGAGGAGGCAGATGTTCACCGGCAGGGCTCTTGTGCAGGCTCAGCAGCTAGCCTGTGTTCAGCACTTTGGAGATGTGAAGGAACCAGGGTGGTTGTGCCGTGGAGAAGCGTGGCAGAAGAGGGATACTCACCGCAGTAGGATAAACCCTCTGGCTTTGCAGTTTTGCAGGAAGCCCCCGTGGTTTCAATTCCGCTTACACTGCCATAGCAATCCGTGCTGCCCTGGGAGGCACCTGCAGAGGCGACACGGAAGGGCTCAAGCAATAAAAGCCTTTTGTGACTGCGAGCAAAACCCGAGGGGAGGCTGCACGCCGCAGAGGTCGGGCTGCGGGACGCGGGAGCCGCACGGGGCTGCCACTCTCGCTCCTTGCGATGGAGAGGAGGCGAGGTCCTGCCCTGCACCCTGCGCCCACCCGTCCATCAGGGCCATCCGTCCTTCCATAAGCCTCACCGGGGGACCCCCAGCACTCTGCCCTCCAATAGAGTTTAATGGCAGTGGAGATTTTGGGGAGGGGGTTGGGGAACCAGGCGTGTGTCCCCAGGTGCTTGGAGCGCAGCAGGGGGGGACGCCAGGCTTACCCAGGAGGGCAGCGAGGCCCAGCAGCACGAGCATCGGGTACATGGCGTGGTTCTTCCTGCGCACGCAGAACAGCCTGAAAAGCAATCAGTCAGCACTGGCACACATGAACACATGAACAAATCCCACTACTTGCTGGAGAAACACAAAGAAACTTTCTGAGCTGACGGGGCATTTCTCTTGGTTAGATAGACGAAGCGATACACAAACGGAGTCGCATCTCTTTTTACGAGAGACCCCAATGGCAGCTCTCCTGCTGCGGCACAAACCAGCCTGCATCTGCTCACAAGAGACTGGTGACCTCTCACTGTTGCTGGTGTTTCAAACCCACAGCTGCTATGACATCTCGGGAGCTTCCACCAAATCTCAAACCCTATACTTGGTTGAGAAAAAGTAAAATTAGTAATGTTCAGTGCCCTGCACTGCTGCACTGCCACCGTGAATGACCTTATTCCCTGCCCATGTTCTGTATACAAACCACCTTCCCCACCCCTGGGCAGCTTTGCCTCAGTCTCCTGAGACTTTCTTCATACTCAGAAATAGGCACTTTCAAGATGCAAGCTGTCGAAATCATTGTGTCTGTCTACTTCAGGGTGAGTTGTGCTCCGGGAGCACCCATTTCCCCTCACCGGCTGTGAGGGTTGCCTAGGGAGATGGGCTCACGTAGGGATGAAAGACATCTAAATGTAGGTGAGCTAAATCCAGAACTACAGGACAAATTTCGGTGTCCTTATTCAAGCAGAAATCTCATGCAGTAAAGAGGTGCAGCCCATGGGCTGCTGAGGAGCTGCTATTGCTGAAGGGAATGAGAAGAGCTCCCGCCCCGAGTGGTGGTGTCTTACCTACTTCTCCGCAGCTCGCCTTCTGGCACAGGACAGAGGATTGGGGAAGGGTAATTTATAGGGAAGGCTACCTTCCTTTTGGTGGCAATCCAACACTGTGATGGAATGTATTGAGCTGCATTTTTTTCTCATGTAAATAGAACCTGTTGCACTCTAGACTTTGGCATGGTGGCAAGTATGTCCTTGGGACTGGCATTTCCCAGATTTCCAAAGGGAGAAAAAAGGACCCTATTTTACTCTGGGCATCTCCTCACCTGCATCTGGTATTTCAAACCCTGTTCCTGGAGGGAGCCAAGGTGAGGGCCAAGGCAAAGTCTCAGCATCCAGCTCTTCTGCGGCTGCTTGCCCCAGTCCCATCCCGGCATCCTGGGCTGTGTCGCTACTGCTCAAGAAAAGAGGGCTGGGACTGACCCTCCATCTGTGGCATGGAGGGGCTTGCAGCCCTACTGCCTGGGCTAGCACCCTCCTGAGACACTGGCCACATCTGTGATGGTGGACCATCTGCCCCTGCCTGGGGGTTCCTCCCATGACAGTGTGCTCTGCTGACATTGCTTGCCAGCAGGATAGATAACGAAGCCTTGTCATTTCAGCTTTTTGGGTTTTTTGTAACAGCTTCCAACAAGCCTGATGCGTCTCTGAAATGATTCAAACAACCCCTTGCCTCAACATTCCTCTCTGCTGTGAGGGGAAGAGTTTTCAGGCACACATCTGCTTGCGAGTAGAGGGACTGCAATGAGCCAGGTGTCTCCAATCACTGAAGCTGCATTTGCTACCTGGGGACAGACACCAATGCTAAGGATACCGGCGTCACGTTAGTGAGGGGTTATGTGCCTGCGGTTGCTCTAGTCAGAGGCTCTCGGGGCCCCTTGCCTCCATCCACCAAGCCCCTTGCCTGCCCTCGAGAGACCTCTCCCTCCCTCTGCTCCCCAGCCACGTTTCTGCACACTCATCACCCTTTCCCTGACCCCTCATGTGCCAAAAATACCAGAGGTGGGAAAAGTGTCACCCACTGTGGGTGGGGGAGTCTGCTTGGTATCTGTGGAGGCTGCAGTCAGTCTCCAAAGGGTGCGCAGTGGGCAGATAGCAAAGCACAGGAGGCCTTGTTGGGCACAGCTTGATTAGCAGTGGGACTGACTCGTTCTGCTGATGCCTTTCTTTGGAAGCCCCCATTTCCTTGAACAGTGTGGAGGCAGCGGGTCTCGTCCCACCTCTGACAGCATCTTCACGAGATGGAGCCGCTGCACGAGGCTGGCCGTGATGAAAGGAGCAGTCCGCTGCTCCCCCAGGTTTGCCTTCATGAGTTAATACCTTGGCAGAGGAGTGCCTGGTGGACCTGGCATATTTGCTTGAGACGATCAATGTTTTAACATTATCTCTGGGCAATCTCACGGAAGGAGAAGAAGCTGACAATGAACAGTGGAGTGGGGATTTCCACCCCCTTTTAGTCGAAGCAAGGCAAATAACACCCAGTCTGTTATTAACCAGTTGCTGTGGTCACGGGATTGGCTGAACCTGTCTCTGCACCCTCTCTCCATCTTCTCCAAGGACCCCCTCAGGCCCCATGATTTCACCTGTCCCGTGGGCCTCGTGCTCCCGTGGTGGGACAGCAGTGCTGGCTTTCTCAACCGCTCTGCTCTCCTCTGTCCCTGCAGTTTCTTCTCCCCAGTAGTCTGCAGTCGGAGGAATGAGGTGGTCCATAAACAACCTTCTTAAAATGTCACATCTTCACCTCTAAGAGCAAAGCCCAGCTTTGCGGGGAGAAGGGCTACAGATGCCAAAGTGATGCTTAATCTTCTAGGTGAGCTGTTTGGGTCCAGGCCCGTTCTGCCTGGGGTGTTGGCATCGCTGTTTTGCTGACTCTCCCTTGTGCAGCCCTTGAACGACTGACGCCTAAACTGAACCATGTCCTTTGTAAAATGTTGCCTTCCTATCTCTTGCTCACACGGCCCCTCTGAACACCCGCAGCATGTCTTTGTGATGAGCAGGTGCAGTACCTTTGCTTTAATGCTAGAGGTGTTTGAAATCTAACGTGCTACAGAGTGCACGCATCCCTTGTCTCTCTGTTCAAAAGGCAATGGGATTATTGCTCGGCTTTGGGGCAAATGAGTTTTCAAAGTCAAGCAGTATGACCCTCTCTGCTAAGAGCATGCAAGGCACAGATTTTGCTGGTGAAAGAGCACTTCTGCAGTAACCCCTGTGTGTGATAATGGCAGATAATCACTTCAGTCTTGGAGGCAAACTTGGAGGCATATCATGCAATGCTGTTAACAATTGAAAATGCCTTACTGATTTTAAAAATGTGTGACCTTTTCTCTAGGCTGGCTTTCTACTGCAAACCCATCTGCATGGATGCACAAACACAAATAGTCCACTGGTGTCACTGGAAAGACTCCCTTGTCCTGTATTAGCTTACTGAGGCCAGCGAACACCCTTGGCTGGAGCTGAGTACACGCAGTAGCTCCAGATGGGGCCTCACTAGGACGCAGTAGAGAGGAAGGAGAACCTCCCTCGACCTGCTGGCCACACTCCTTCCAATGCACTCCAGGATCCCATTGGCCTTCTTGGCAACAAGGGCACACTGCTGGCTCGTGGTCAACTTGTCGTGCATCAGCACTGCCAGGTCCCTCTCCACAGAGCTTCTCTCCAGCAGGTCTTCCCCAAGCCTGTACTGGTGCATGGGGTTGTTTCTCCCCAGGTGCAGGACCCTGCACTTGCCCTTGTTGAACCTCATCAGGTTCCTCTCTGCCCAACTCTCCAGCCTGTCTAGGTCTCACTGAACGGCAGCACAGCCTTCTGGTGTATCTACCTTTTTCAACATGCTGGATTGGAGTACACTCTGTCCCTTCATCCAGGTCATTGATGAAGAAGCTGAACAAGACTGGGACCATCACTGACCCCTGGGGAACCCCACTAGCTACAGGCCTCCAACTAGACTCAGCGCCGCTGATGACAACCCTCTGAGCTCTGCCATTCAGCCAGTTCTCAGTCCACCTCACTGACCACTCATCCAGCCCACACTTCCTGAGCTTCCGTAGGAGGATGTTACGGGAGACCGTGTCAAAAGCCTTTCTGAAGTCGACGTAGACAACATCCACTGCTCTCCCCTCATCTACCCACAAGCCAGTCTTACCATCGTAGAAAGCTATCAGATTGGTC